CAAACAAAGGAAACTATTATTTTAAATGATGGAAGCCTTTTGTTTGTCTTGTCTCAGTGCATCCCTTGCTCTCCAGCAAGGCGGTTCTGTACCACGTTGTTTCCTCATGTACTTTCTGCTTCCAGCATGAAGAAATATATTGACAAGACAACTTTTGACGAGCGGAGTTTATTCAGCGTCCTAACGGTTCTCACTACAAAGTTAGACTGCACAATGAATAATAACTTTAAGCGTGATCTACAGCTAACTGAATGTGAACAAAGAATGGTCCGTCTTGGGAATAACGATCTAAACAATCGTCGGCTAATTGAATATGCCAGCCTCGTTCCCAGTCGTCCTCGGCGATTTCGGATGTGACGTCACCTGTCAAGCTTGTCGGGAAAATTCGCCTCGGGCTATCGCGCTTGGTTCCAAGCCTCCTCTGGTCACTCGGATAGCGCGAACAGGCCTGGGTACGAGGCTGTGAATATGCAATAGCGTATTGCAACACACGTGATGAATAGCATGCTGCAACTGAAAGCGCCTATTCATCTACGGTAAATTTGCAAATCGATCGCTCTCCATAATTACACCTTTAGACATGAACCCCCCTTAATTTTTCTGTCGGTAGGAAAGCCATTTTTCATCATGTGGTTGTACCACGCTGTGTACTCACGATCCAGGGGTTATCATTTACAAAACTAAATCCACTTCTATCAGGGGCACCCAACGAGGATATGGTTCAAAACCACTTAACACAGCATTGTTAAAACGTATTTTAGTATTTAAACGGTAGATATAGGTATATTTTTATCCCCTAAAAACTTTTCATCTGTTCGGATTTCCTAGCTGAAAGTCTAGTGATCCGAAAATTATAGGGATGAAAACTAACCTTTTCGAAAATTTCTGCCAGGAAAAGGCTCCCAAAAATTCTAGGTGGCCTTTTTTAGGGTAAATATCCGTTTAAAATGGGTAATTATACCATTTTGCAGATGTTCGAAAATCCTAGGAGAGGCAGGCAAGCAAGGAATTTTACAACAAATGTTCCGAAAATTCTAGTTCTCAAATCGTCTTCCGAACAGATGTTTTCCCGAAAATTGCCGTTGGGTACCCCTGTTCTATCCGATCATTGTTGCAGATAATTTATTTTACTCAGCGAGTTACATGTATGTTAGCTAAATTGTATTTTTCATATTAGTAACACCAGGAGCCAACACCAGAAGATTACAGTTTTTACTACATATTTGTGCGAAGGTCATTCCAGAATAAGCACTCATTAAGAGAAGAATCGGACTCTTTCAAACTTTCCTGCAAAATTTGGGGACATGATGGAAGCATTTCATTTCGTATATCATCAAGCATCATGTAGTATTTGGCCAACCTCTGAGCATACTTCTTGACATTCTCGTTCTCTGTAAAGCGTGCAGGCCCTTTGTAAACTACGTCATGTTCCCAGTCTGCCCAGAGCGTCATGTATGGTGTTCCCATTTGAACCTCTCCTGCTGTATCAACCTCTGGGAGTGCTACCTTTAAAAGTGAAAACATATTAATTATAAAACAAACTCAGACATTTCCAGGCCGCTTTGCGGCTTGGAAGTTCAATTGAGCAGCCTGAGATTCAGTTTATGAAAAAGGTTTAAAGTTAAGGGAGCTGGCACAAATTGTTGCAAAGTTGGACAGCGCTATCCACCCTATAAATCACTATCCAGTGGATAAGTGATCCAAATTTTGAATAACTCATGGTGTGCAGGCTTTTAGTGACGAATGGGGCAAGATTTCCGCTCAAGCCCACACATTGATTTGCATACACCTATAGTATTGTTACTGGGTATAGTGTTACCTCTTACCAGTCACCATTTCTCCTCGGTCAGAGAGGCAAAGGAGAGGAAAAAAAATAAATTAATAAGAATTGCAAGATGACCCTTATTTTCTAAGTAAAGGATACATTAAGGCGGCATCCTGGTGATGATGTTAATTTAGGAAGGAAATAATTATGGCAGGAAAGGTGTACACATAATTCAGTTAGTCCGCTAATGGGATCAGAGGCATCTTGTTGTGGTGGTGGGCTATCTGTTATTTGGCAACTAATCATTCACTTTTTTATTTTAATCTTTAACAACCCCAAATCCAACATTTTCCAATTTTTAAAATTTTCAACATCGCCCCTACTTTGTATACATTAAAAACATTCGAAAAATCATCCAAAAATTCTCAAAGAGTTATTGAACCAAGGGCTCCAACTTAATGGAGTCATTTTTGATTGAATGAAATCTTGGCAAGATATTTAAGAAAAAGGGCAGGAATAAACTGAAAACAAGCTTTTAACCAGGCTGTCACCTTAAAATACATAGCAAAACACCTTGAAATGAAGACGACGATAGCCGGAACTTTTCCAGGGCCAGTAAATTTTTTCGCGTTGATCGACGCTGCCAATCGCTGGTCCACAAATACCATAGCATCGGATCTCGTTTACAGTGTTGTTGAACGCTTCAACATATGCCTTCTTGAACTTTAAAATATCATCAATGGTTTGAAAAGTAACTCGGGCGCCTACAATGTCCGTTATTTTGCGATAGTCCGTTATTCCGTCTTTTTCCATCTTCGTCGACAGTGATGACAAACTCTTGATCCTTCCAGTCACAACTCCAATAATACCGTTGTCATTCAAAACGCTTTCAAGGCGTGCTTGCAAGGTTTTCAGAACTTCAGGTAAAGCTTTGTAGAACTTGTAAAATTCAGCATCAAATTCAACTTTCTCTCCTTTTTTACCGATGGCCCTGATACCAATCGGGAAGGCAGACCGTTTTTTGCTGAGCGAGTAAATTTTTTTGAGCATGTCAGGGCCGTATTCGAGTTCTGCGATGTTCCATTCGTACCCCATGGGTCTGAACTCGGTAGAGTGTCCACCATTATCGTCATCTGTATCTTCATATCCGGGATTGGCAGCATTAAACGCGAAGAGATTTGCACAGAGGAACATAAGACAGAGAGCCATTTTATCCATCTTTCTCATGCCGTCTGAACTTGACTGGTACATTTTTGTAGCTGTAACTAAAGGGAAAATTAAATCAAAAGTGACCTACATTCTTCTGCCAGTAGATAAAGCCAGCTATATATTCTGTCGCCTCTTTTCATTGAAAGATGAATAACGATGAATTATAAGTATGCTTATTGTACCTTCTAAGTGCGCAGGGGTACGTAACTCTATTATGTAGGATGTGTGACTAGTCAATCAGGAAATCAGTACAGCTATGTTCAGTAAGACGCACACGTTCCCAATAAGGCAATTGTTTTTCCCACAAAATTTTGTATAAACATTGTTTTCATTTTTCTCTTGGGAGTAACAATCGTCCCTTGAGTATTGGAAAATGAAACTTAAGGGCCTGTTTACATGGAGGGGGTGGGGGGGCAGATAGGTGAGATAAACCGCTTAGGTGGGGTAACCCGCCTGTCCAAATAATCTCTCATTTTAATGTGATCACGTTTACATTTTAGGTGGGGTAACTTGACACATGTTACCTCACCTACCTGGGATCCCCCATCTTCATGGCTACCCGCCTTGGCGGGTCACCCCACCTATCATGTAAACGTGATCAAATTAAAATGAGAGATCATATGGACAGGCGGGTTACCCCACCTAAGCTGGTTACCTCACCTACCTGGGGTCCCCCACCTCCATGTAAACAGGCCCTAAATAGGCCCTTATGCAAAATGTTGTGGTACAAAACCGCCTTGCAGGAGAGCAAAAGTCGCACTGGGACAAGACAAACAAAGGAAATTGTCATTTAAAATTATGTATGTCTTTTTTGTCCTAGTGCAATTTTTGCTCTCCGGCATGGCGGTTTTGTACCACGTGAATGGCTAGCTGCAACGAAACGTTTATCATGTTTAAAATTTCTGTAATAATTGTCGTGTTTTAAACTGCCATTTCAGGCGATAGATCTCTGGCACGATATTCCTGATCACCTAAAAGACCTGAGGACATTTTTCTTCTTTTCTTTGCTGTCAGAAGAATACTCCAAGAAAGCTGAGTAGAAACTAAACTGAACTGAAACGTAACTATGGATAATTTACCAGGCTCAGTTCTCCTCTCCCTGCTCCTCCTTTTAGTTATCAAAATGAAGTCAAATAGTATTCGGGGCTAACCGGAAAATATCCCGGTTCCTTTAATTTTTTGGCTCAAACCAATTACTTAATTTTCTTGTCCTCTTATCTTAATCTATGGTAAATAACATGTGTCTTGTAAGAATTCTAAGCCGGAGCGGAGTCAGTAAGGATTGTTATAATTATCACTTCGCTTTGCCCAAGTTTTTTTTTTCCGATTTTTTATTCACATTACCTTCCTCAAGGAAATTAACCTTATTTCCTAGCGAAACTAGGAAACAACATTGCAGGGAACAGTACCCTTTGCATCAAGTAATTTTGTGGCTTGGAGTCCCTTACTATAAATGAGCTTATAAGAAGTATAGTTCAAGCTACTCGGTTCGTTCCCACCCTTCCCCCCAAACAAACGCTTCTATACAGTGCAATAAAATGTTTTGCTTAAAAAATGAAGTGGACGTTTTTATGGCGGAACTATTATGAGTGTTTCTTGATTCACTTTACTTTCTTCGTTTTCTTTTTTCACTTGGATGAAATAATACTTCTTGTCTTTCGTCTTTCTGATGTAGTTTGTTTATATTTTAAAAAGATTTCGCGATGACTAGATTTGTTACTTTGAGTCTACTTTGGTTGCTCTGATTTTATTTTGCTGCGAAAAAGGTTGATTTTTGAAGTTGGCAACTTTTAAGGATGCTCGATACAGTTTTTCAGTGTCAATACCTCCCCTAAGTTTGAGCATAAGCTACGTCGCCATAAACAAAGATTTGGAAAAATTGCCACCATAGTTGCATGCATTATATAAAGATGAAAATTTGTTATGATATGAGTTGCAATGACTGTGATCGGAGTTGTCATAGCAACGAAATGACGCCATTACCTATTTTACTTGCAGCAGTATTTCTCGTCACTGGCAACTGTTATTCCAAAATCGTTCACGGGAGTTTTTTCTCCTCCAATAGCCGCCTCGATGTTCGTGAAGTTTAAGCGAAATCTGTTATAGAGTTATCAAGATATTTTGGGAAGAAGTCTTTATGGCTAGAAATACGGTAAAAAATGGACAATCCTGATGTTCGATTGTTATCTGTAGAAAACGAAGCGCTTTTGACAGGCAGTTTCAATCTTTTTGAAAACGTGTGAAAGATCATGGAGATAGCTCCAGCCGATTGCTGGAAAGAACGTTATGATTTATAGTATGTATCGAGGCACTCTTGTCAGTGTGTCTTGTTAGCGGTTCTGTAAACATTTCGGCGTACTCTAACAAATTAGCAAATAATTTTTTAACGGTTCGATAGATTTTTTTAAAAAAAATTAAGAATCGAGATCAACCGTCCTTTTATACGACCTCTTAGTTTCAAGATTATTGATGTATTGTAAGGCAGTAAAATAAAGGCTACAATTCGATAATTTGTTATCTGAAGTTTCGTCTTTTCAAGTGAAAGCCTCTCAATATTTAAGGATATTGTCTCCAAGTATCATATTCACGTCGTGAACAGCAGTAACTAACAAGGCATTTTAAATTTGCATTTGAAATATGCTAGCTGTCGTTGTGCGCGAAAATATGAAACTTGGAGACAATAGCCCTGAATAATGAGAGGCTCTCACTTGTAAACACATAATTTCGTTATCTCGATAACGCTCTTACAGATTTCGCTTAAACTTCACTAACATTGAGGCGGCTTTTGGAGGAACGATTTTGGAAGAACAGTTGCCAGTGACGAGAAATACTGCTGTAAGTAAAATAGGGAATGGTGTCATTTCGTTGCTATGACAAATCCGATGTCATTGCAACCCATATCATAACAAATTTTCATCTTTCTGCAATATAACCAGGGGCACCCAACGTCAATTTTCGGAAAATATCTGTTCGGAAGACGATTGGAGATCTAGAATTTTCCGAACATTTATTGTAAAATTCTTCGCTTGCCTGCCTCTCCTAGGATTTTCGAACATCTAAAAAATGGTATAATTGCCCATTTTTAACGGATTTTTACCCTAAAAAGGTGACCTAGAATTTTCGGGAGCCTTTTTTCGGGCTGAAATTTTCGAAAAGGCAAGTTTTGATCCCTATAATTTTCGGAGTACTAGACGTTCAGCTAAGGATTCCGAACAGATGAAAAATTTTCAAGGGATAAAAATATGCCTATATCTACCGTTTAAATACTAAAATACGTTCAACAATGCTATGTTTAAGTGGTTTTGAACTGTATTCTCGTTGGCTGCCCCTGCTTGATATAACGTTGGTGGTAATTTGTCCATATCTTTGTTTATGGCGACATAGTTTATGCTCAAACTTTGGAGGTATTGACCCTGGAAAATTAATCCTATCGAGCCACTTTTTTATACCAACAAAAAAGGCTTTCGTGTGACTATAGTGTTAATGGTCCAATCAATCATGCATAACCATTATTTGTAAGTCATTTTAGAAGCAAGCAGTAAGGGTCTTAAAAAAAAAACAGGAAAACAGTGAAAATAAGAGCGAATACCAAGACAATAAAAAGAAATGATTAAAGAAATGATTAGATGAGCCCCTGGTGTAAAAACCTCAAACCATTAAAAGTATTTGATTTTGCTCATGATCCTAACCTTATGTCTAATATCAATTTAGTATTTTTCTTTGCTTGCCAAGAAAATCTCCCTTGTTTGGCGACTAGAAGACTCGACTGGTGTTTTTATCTATCCGGCAAGCCATTTGACAAGGAGAACACAAGTACTATCTTTTCACTAGAGCTAAGCGCCTCACAAAGAAGCAACAACTTTTGCTACCTTTCAATAAACAATGGCAACGTTTGATGACCCACCATGAATTTGAACATTAGGGCTTGTTAATCAATAGAATTTTTTTGCTCAAAGTACTGAGAAGCTTAAAGAGAGAACATTTAAATAAGTGTAATCACCTCTAGTTCACCCTCAAAAAAGGAGCTCCCACACCTGTAATGCCAGTTGACTTGATAAACCAAGTGTTCTCCACGTCACAGCACCACTATTCAAGCTTCTGGTGTGGTGATTCTGTACGTTGTCTTAACTGCACCCTTTGTTAAGAAGAATTCCTGACAACACCTTGCTTCTCCAATCAAACACACGATTGACCATATTGACCAGCCGCTGTCTTATCCAATAACAGGCCCTCCTTGTCAAATGGTAAGTGACGGGAGTGCGGCACGATCTGTTCTCGGCTGAGGTTACATACATACGATCTAACCTCTCCTTACGGACACCTCTCTATTACGGACAGTTCGTTTGGTCCCAGAAATGCCAAAAATCATACATTCCCTACCTCTATAATATGGACACCTCTGTAAAGCGGAGACTTGGTTCTGTCCCTTTGGTGTCCGTATTAAAGAGGCTTGACTATCCTGAGTTTATTTGATATTGCAGGTCAGAATACAGGCAACTAATTAAAGCTGATGTGGACCTGCCTAATAATCAAATAATAGTAAAAAATTAAATAAATAGATAATAGATAGATAAATAGATATCCATGTTCTCACATCCTCGGGCATTGTTATCTGAACTGTTCCAGACAACAGGACCCCCAAATAATCACCTATTATTAGTTGTTCACAATATCTTTACAAGCTCGACGTATAAAATATTCATCAACATTATAAACCTTCTCCTTTCATGAATTCGTCCTTAAACAAATATGTTCAGGCTATTTTATTACCAGTCCGGGATGGTTATCAAATTTGATAACCATGTTACGTCACAGCATGGCGGCCATTTCGGAAATCGGGGATTTTCGTACGCCGTTCGTGTTTTTCATTTTTTATTCGGTATTGCTCGCCTTATGTACCCATAAGTCTATTGGAGATTGGTGAAATAGACACCGTTCTTCAAGTGCAAGAAAGATGGCGTTCATCAAAGGGTGATTGAAGCGAAATTTTTGCCCGAGAAGTGACAGGGCGGTTGGAATAACACGTTGAAATGAGGTATGTTTTTCAACTTTGCCTTTAAGTTTAGGCTAGTAAAAGAATTTTGTCACAGTTAAAAAAATTATGGAGTTGATCTTCAAACTATTTCCTTTCGATGCAACTGTTATTTGTCCGGATGCAAACTGCCGGGAAAAAGTGCATGGGGTGGTCTTGATTTACGGTATAATTCTGTTACTAACCGCCATTTTGTGTTTTCAACGGAGCAACTACAAGTCACTATCCGTGATAATTTTACATTCTGCAAAGAAAACTGACGAGCTGGGCTCAGCGTGATACAGCATTGCAGAAAAACATTACACTCACGGACTAAAGAAAATCGCTTAGATCAGATCCAGAAGGCACTTTGGAGAAAATTGGAACCTTTATTCAGCCGTAATAAAAAAAAGCTTTACGCTTCAAAAGAGGTCAAAGAAAATGCGCTTGAACCAGAGGGCAAATCCTGCCGACCAGAAAACAATAACTACAGTCAATCAATATATATGTCATGACCTCTCAGTGTGAAACAGGCGGCTAAAATCACATTTGCTCAGTATAAATGCAGAACCTTCCAGAGCATAATCTACCCAGCAGATAAAAACAACTTTATTGGAATAAGCAGCATTTTGGCATGAGGTAAAAGTCGTGGCCTACCACCCCCTTTTATTGCAACTACAGAATACAGAGTACCGGAAATGCCATGATTACCAATGCAGCAACTTGAATTGTAATAAATAGCACAGCGTTCATATCATGAAGAACATATGGTAATATTTCCAATCTGAAATTACGTGCGAGGGTTCGTTTTACATGAATTATTACTTTCTGTATATTTTGTCAGGATGATAACTGGAAAGCCAACAACAACAAAGAGGACACCGGTACATCAAAAGGTGGGGAAAAAATGTCAGGCACGGCGGTGGAGCCTTTATTCCCTGTGCTTGGAAAATCGAATGTAATGAAGAGTATATTGGAGAAGTGGAGAGAAGGCTGTCGCTAGTTGTTTCAGAAATGGGAGAGGAAGGAGCAGATATGGTCGTGGAGGTACGTTGAGTGCGTGGTAGTCTGTTTTTTGTTCAACTTCCTATAAAGTAGCTTAAATAATTGTTGCGAGAAGCTTCAGTCATTCAAAGCCAAGCCAGTATTCACGGGGCTTGGCGCTGCAAACTTATGCGCTACAATTTCAGCCTCCCAATAATTTCCCCTCAGGGACCAGAGTTGTTTTTTAGCTAAGAACGATTTACAAGTAAGGTAGCAACACTTCAGGAAATAAACTGTGTCAAATATTACTTTTTAACAGATTGTTGGACCCGTATTAGAGACATGTACAAGCGCTGAAAACCTGGAAGCTCCGCCGTCCACCAAGAAAGCAAGACACTGACAAAGACTGAAAATGATTTAGATTAAGAATGATTTTGTTTTAAAATGATTATATAAAAACCGTTTGCTAGACAATATTCCTTACTACTTTCATTGTTTCATTGTATCATGTCATATTCGCTGGGTGCTTGTGCGGAGAAGAACCGGAGCCCGGAAATAAGTGAAAAACTAGCAAAGGAGCTCTGAAGAAATAAACGGAAAATAATTTTTAATTCTAAATTTCATAGTAGTCCGAATTTGTTCCTCTTTATTCGAACGATTTAAAATGTACAATTACAAATTAAATGGTCTGGTTAGGCCTCCGGACGCCATATTGAATTAAAAATTCCTCGATAGCGTGTCACGTGAACTTGAATCTGTGCAGCGATTGGCTATTGGTTTGTTTTGGTCTGGGTTATCAAATTTGATAACTATCCCGGACTGATTACACGTCAGCGACTTCCACGACAACCCTTTTATCGATCGTAAAAGAATGTTCAATTAAGTTTTCCACCAAAGGCTTGTTTACATTTTAAAATATCGCATGGTTTGATATTTCAACCTTAACTTGACTCCGCGTCTAGGAATTTTCAGGAAATGACCTCTATCCTTATTTCGGTTAATTTTTAGCTTGTTTCCCATGCTTTCCATCGAATTCATATAGTTGATGGTTCAGGGGCACCCAACGACGGTTTCCTCCTACACCCATTGAAAACACTTTTTAGGCTATCCAGATTACTTTTAGCCTGCGAAAGACATGAGCGAGGAGAAACGTCTGCCGTTCGCAGGCTAGAGTACTTTCAGATCTCTAGAAATGCATTCTAAGCAGTGCCATAAAATTTGTATCTGTTCAGCCATCCTAGGGCAACTTGAGTCTGTTCGAAATCAGATTAGGGCTCCAGTATTTCTTTCCCGAAAATCTTAGATGCAATTCAACGTTTTACGAAAGTGAGAATATTTCTAATTCCTCTCTACATCGCATTTTTTAGTCCGAAAATTTTAGGTTTCCTTTGTACTACGAAAAATAGCCTAACCTGGGGAGTTAAATGTGAAAAATTAAACCAGAAAATCGTATTGGGTTTATTGAAAAAGCTTCGAAAATTGTACATGGATGGAACGGTCATCTAGAAATTTTTAGCCGTCCTCAAGTAATAGAAAATTCTGGGCAATATTTGCTTTTCCAAACAGATATTTTACAGAAAACAGTCGTTGGGTGCCCCTGATGGTTTTTATTTGCAGCTTAAAATATTTTAATAACAATGGAATGGAATACAGTCTCCCAATTCACAGGTGTTGGTTAAAGTAATATCTATTGTTGTAATTCAAGTTCTGCTCCCTACCGCGAACTGCATAATTTTAATTTGTCCTCTGAGTTTCCAGTCGCGTCTGTAGTTGATTTATGGAAAAGTTTTAGCCAATCACTTTCAGTGATTTTAATTCTTATAACATAACGCGTAATGTAAACAACATTCAACCCTAAACCCTCAATTTGAGAATAGTAGCCTGGACAGGAGGATTCGGAGAGGCTTGGTTCGTCGCCATGTCTGAGAACCTGACAATAAGCGTGTCGCACATAGTTTGCCTTATTTGGAAATTCTCCTCAAGGGATGGTTGAAGGACAGCATTTTTACCAGGCAACACAAAATGGCGCACGAAATGCTATCGTCTTTGCTCGTCAATCATAAACGCACAATTTAAAGCGTTCTGGATTCAGATTTTACAATCTAATAACTCACTAAGGGCACCCTGGAAAAGGTGTGCAAAAATCGAACCAAAATCGAAACTTGGAAGCAAAGAATCGTGAATTCTCTATTTTCGAATTCCCCATAATACACTCTGTTTGCCCCCCAAATTTTGCATAAACCATTGTTTTTAAATGCTCCTGGGAGTATTGCATTTTCCCGAGAGCATTTTAAGACAATAAGTTATGCAAAATTTGGGGGGCAAACAGAGTGTATTATGGGGAATTCGAAAATAGTCAATGGAACCGAAAGCTCATAATCGCGATTAATCGAGAATTCGATTAATCGTTACACCACTAGCATACGAGTAGATACTTTGTAGTTTTCATATTGTTCTCCTTGTTTTGTATTGGCCAGTTGACCTAAGCTTAATAGTGCGGAAAACTTAGGTAGAAAAACCACTTTGACAAAGTAATTATCTCGAAGGTTTCATGCTAATAAGGTTAGCTGTTTAGTCCCCTCCGAAAGTCCTTTCAACACTAATTCCAAGTTTTTTCCAGGAATTTCCATTAACTTCCCTTTACGTTTTGAGTGAGAAATTTTCACATGTTGAGACAGCCTATTATTTAGCATGTGTTTTGCCTTAAACATCTCAATGTGCAAATCTACGTTTGCCAGTGAACACGCCATAATATTCTTAGGTAAGTTATGTATTATTTTAGCCGCTCCCCCGATCAATCACTTAGATGCAATCGATCAATTTCCGCAACCGTAACTGGAGAACACCTTCCCCACACTGATATGGAGAAAGTTATATGCGGAATTATAGCCTTGAAATACATGTCCTCTAAAAGCTTGGATAGTAGATGCCGCATTCTCTTAAACATATTAATTTGATTACAATATGACTTGCACATTTCATGGACTTGGTCCCTCCAAAGCAACCTGCTATCAGTCACACTAAAGTGGAATAAGTATATTTAAGTACAGTGTTTCCAAATTAAACAGGAAGTATGGGCCCTACAAAAATATTCCTCTGCAAGATCATCACTTCCGATTTACCTGTATGAAGAGTCAACTTCTTTGAATGGCACCAACTACAGATCTCTGCAAACAGTACTGTAGCAAAAAAGGAGTTCAAGGTGCTTGCTTTATCTTTATCTTTGCAAACTAATGTGTCATAATCATTTCGCACAGGATCAGTTCTTTTATCGCCTCTTTCGTTTTTGCTTATTAATTTTGTTTCACAATCTTCAAGAAATCACTTGATCTTTTGACGTTGTTACATAATTCATCTTTCCAATACTCTGCTTCTGCGTTTCTCATGACTCTATTTACTTCATTTCTCAAAGACATGTATATATCTTTTCCTGTCTTCTTGACCACCCGTTTTTTGAAACTTGCGTAAAAGGTATTGCATTGATTCATGAGTTTACGTATGCATCCATTAACGCATGGCAGAGACTTTCTGTACGAACCTTTACTTTTCTCTCAGGCATAAAGTCTGCCTATCACGAGGAAAGATATCTTTATTATGGGCGATCTTAATTCAGACTTCGTGAGGAAAAGAGGAAATGTTAGAGCAGTTTCCGAAAATGGTACAAAACTCTTGAATGTCATTAACAAATTTGGACTTGTAAATGCCATTAAACAGCCAACCAGAATAACAATAAACTTTGTTTGATGTATCATTGACAAGTGATGAGAGCAAGGTTGCAAAGGCATAAAATATGCCTATTTTAAACCTTCTGTACACCGGTCGGATGCGCTACCCACTAAACTAGGGCTATATATAGCCCAGCTCGCTAGGAGTCCTTCGTAGTTCAGTGGTTAGAGCACCCGACGGGTGTGCGGAAGGTCATAGTTTCAATTCCTGTTGGGGACTGAGATTTTTTCTTTGTCTCGAGCTCGTGATATGCTGATCGCATCACCTCTCATTTCTTCACCAAGCTTAAAATTTACTATCTTTCTGTTTATCAACGAATCAAATGCCCAGGGGGGTTGCCTGTGGAGGCGATGTTGAAGCTTCCATTTGACCGATACATATATATATGCCTCAGAGAACGAGGAGAATAGTGAAATGTGAGGGGAATTGCATAATAAACAGTTATTAATCCCTACAATATATTATCTTTTATTAATTCATTCAACGATACATTTAATCATTTTTTTACAGATTATATCAGATAAAGCTATAATTATTATTGTATACTACATGCAGTTGCTATGCTTATACTTTTCATGTAAGTTATTCATTTTTGATACTTTTATGGTATGACTGTCACATTTTTGGTGTGTTTCTTTGTCGTCCAATGAACGAGTTCATTGCAACATCTGCTCCAAGAAATTTCAATAGCACATCTGTGGCATCTACTGGAAGGATGCTTTGAAGAAAAAAAAAACAGAGCACATGTCAGAAATATAACCTTATTATCACTGACTTGTACAAGTTATTACAAACCAAACATTTCGACCCCAGTGCCATACATTATTTTCATGAAAAAAGTCAACCATTCATCAATCACACCACGATGGAAATTGGAAAACCCTAATAATGTATCTGCAGTTGTAGCTTGGCATCTAAACATATTCAGGTATCAAAACAAAGAACTTTCAATTGACGCCTTAGACATATATCCAGGGGAGAGGGCACTCCCATTTCAAGTGATGGAGATGATCGATTATAGTGGTGTAACGACTAATCGAATTCTCGATTAATCGCGATTATGACCGTTCGGTTCGATTCACGATTCTTTGCTTCCAAGTCTCGATTTCGGTTCGATTTTTGCACACCTTTTCTAGGGTGCCCTTAGTGAGTTATTATATTGTAAAATCTGAATCCAGAACGCTTTCAATTGTGCGTTTATGATTGACGAGTAAAGACGACAGCATTTCGTGCGCCATTTTGTGTTGCCTGGTAAAAATGCTGTCCTTCAACCATCCCTTGAGAATTTCCAAATAAGGCAAACTAGGTGCGACACGCTCTTTGTCAGGTTCTCAAACATGGCAACGAACCAAAAGCGACTGTGAATCCTCCTGTCCTTGCTACTATTCTCAAATTCAGGGTTTAGGGTTGAATATTGTTTACATTACGCGTTATGTTATAAGAATTAAGAGGCATTTACATAGTCGAAATCGAAAGGCAATAATCGAAATCGAATCGAACCGCAAGGACTATGAATCGTTACACCCCTATGATCGAATGGGAGCAAAAAATTTATCAAAACCCTAAAAGATTCCTAGGGTATCCAACAAAACCCGAAAAAATCCTTGGACCGAAAATTAACCCCCAAAGAATCCCATGCCGAATTTGCGCGCATTAAAATTATCCAGAAGCATTAGCCTATGTGTAGCCGATAGCATTTCGTGCGCCATTTTGTGTTGCCTGGTAAAAATGCTGTCCTTCAACCATCCCTTGAGAATTTCCATATAAGGCAAACTAGGTGCGACACGCTCTTTGTCAGGTTCTCAAACATGGCAACGAACCAAAAGCGACTGTGAATCCTCCTGTCCTTGCTACTATTCTCAAATTCAGGGTTTAGGGTTGAATATTGTTTACATTACGCGTTATGTTATAAGAATTAAGAGGCATTTACATAGTCGAAATCGAAAGGCAATAATCGAAATCGAATCGAACCGCAAGGACTATGAATCGTTACACCCCTATGATCGAATGGGAGCAAAAAATTTATCAAAACCCTAAAAGATTCCTAGGGTATCCAACAAAACCCGAAAAAATCCTTGGACCGAAAATTAACCCCCAAAGAATCCCATGCCGAATTTGCGCGCATTAAAATTATCCAGAAGCATTAGCCTATGTGTAGCCGATAGCATTTCGTGCGCCATTTTGTGTTGCCTGGTAAAAATGCTGTCCTTCAACCATCCCTTGAGAATTTCCAAATAAGGCAAACTAGGTGCGACACGCTCTTTGTCAGGTTCTCAAACATGGCAACGAACCAAAAGCGACTGTGAATCCTCCTGTCATTGCTACTATTAAAGGAAAAAACGGAGAAAAGGGTGCTTTTTCCTTTGTCAGGGGGAGGGTGCGGCTACAAGTAGACTACAGAAGCATTAAATGATAAAACACTAAAAATAAATTTAAAATTTCAAAAATTTCAAAAAATTTTGAAATTTCAAATTTCAAAATAATTCGATCAACACCCCTAGACCCACCAAGAAAAGAAGACTAGAAAGCCCCTTGTTGATTATAGCAATACACCAGCCACTATTATTTTGTCCAGGTGAACAGTCCATAATATTCACTGTTTGGGTTTCTGAGATGATTAGTATATGAATTTCATATAATTCTTTTTATTGTAACTGTGGAATGAAGAAATGGATGCAAAGAAGGTCTTCGCATTTTAAAAACACAACTTATGCATTTGTAGAAAGAAAGCCTGGGAAAAAATGAGGGTTCTACCCTTTCCCTAAGAAGTGGTACATTGCATCCATATATACCTCCCCACTGATAATCAGTTCATCTCTTTACAATGGCCACTTTATACCTCTGTCCCCAAGATGACCATTGTTCCCTGTATAATATTTATTATGAGACCTTGCAGGGGGTAGAAGCAACGGAAAAAGGGAAGAACAGCTCCCCAAAAAAACTGTCGGCTGACTGTTGGTTGACTGTTGACCACCAGTCGGCCAACAGTTGGCCGACAGTCGTTTACCGCCTTTTACAAAAATTTTCTGCCAACAGTCAGCGGCCGACTGTTGGCAGCATGTTGGTAATCTGTCAGCTAAGTGTCAGTTGAGAACGCCTGTTGAATACCAGAAAAGCCTCCGCTTGCAATGACCAAGTTGTAAGCAGCTTTAATTATCTCTGACAAGTGACTACGTAATAGAATAATAAACTAACTGAAAATATGATGTCATTACACTTCTCAACTTTTTAAATGTCAGTTTACTGTTAGTCAACACACTGTCGGTTAACTGTTGGCATACTGTCGGTCGACAGTTGGCTGACAGTATACTGACAGTCGGCTGACAGACTTTTAGGGGAGCTCTTCTTCACTTTTACGGAAGTGACAGGCAACATGGGCCCGGAAACTGGCAACAGTCCTCTCAGGAAGCACTGATAATAATTTTACTGACAGAAAAGGAGGAAAGAATTTTGACAGCAGCAATCTATTTTTTTTTTCTAAGAATAGAAAGCGACACCTGTTCTTTTTTGCATTTTGGCTGTTTTGGCAGAGAAGTAACAAACTCTTTTATGTTAATTCTAAACATATTCTGTTATTTGAATGTAAATCAAACTGCTGTACATACTGTTGTAAAGCTGTTGAAAAATACGCTCCTCTGGGCATCATAAGAATCTTCTGGTTCTTTTCTATAGCATCCACAACTTTCGATGCTGCATACTCTGGAGTTAATATACTAAATCCTAACAAATGGGGAAACCTGATAAACAAAGACAACAACAACCCAGAAATCACTTAATACACTTGTTAGGTGTATTAATTGGCCATTATAATCAGTTATGATGACAATCATGACCAATAATCATTCAAAATCATTATTTTCTTTAAAATATTGGTCCAGAGGTCATTGCATCAAGAGTGATGAGCATCAAATTTCTCCTTGTAATATCAATGCTTTGTAAAACAGGGACAGGAGAATTACGGACATGATCACACGAGATGAATCTGCTTGATATTTTATCAACTTCTCCCCCTACTTCTGCAGGAAATAGATAGGGGCAGCAAATGAGAATTCAAAATTTTGATCTTAGGGTTTGAAAGGTTAAATACGAGTTTGTAACAGTAGAAATGAGCTTTTCATCAACTTTTTAAGTGTCTGCATCTGCTTGAGTCCACTTTTAGGTGGACATTAAAATAAAGGTTTCATCTACAGTAAATGAGAGATTAAAATAATTTTTGGACTTTCGTTACTGTTAGCTTAATAAAAGGTTCTCGCTTAATACAGGTTTCACTGTAATTATTCTAACTATAGATAAGCATGTACATTTAACTGAATGAAAATTAATGATTTCACCAACCTAAACTTAACACCTTCAAACATTCCAGTAGTTATAAGTGAAGGGCAAACTGTGGTGAATTGAATACCAGTAGATCCTATGCTTGAGAGTTCTTGACGTAATGCCTCCATGAGTCCAACAGCAGCAAACTTTGATGAGCAGTAATCAACTGCACCAGCCAGACCAGTCTTACCAGCTATGGATGCTAAGCTTACAATGTGACCATGTTTACGATGAAGCATGCTAGGTAGGAATTCTCTTATGGTCTACAGAGAGGAAAATAATTTATAANATAAACAAAGACAACAACAACCCAGAAATCACTTAATACACTTGTTAGGTGTATTAATTGGCCATTATAATCAGTTATGATGACAATCATGACCAATAATCATTCAAAATCATTATTTTCTTTAAAATATTGGTCCAGAGGTCATTGCATCAAGAGTGATGAGCATCAAATTTCTCCTTGTAATATCAATGCTTTGTAAAACAGGGACAGGAGAATTACGGACATGATCACACGAGATGAATCTGCTTGATATTTTATCAACTTCTCCCCCTACTTCTGCAGGAAATAGATAGGGGCAGCAAATGAGAATTCAAAATTTTGATCTTAGGGTTTGAAAGGTTAAAACGAGTTTGTAACAATAGAAATGAGCTTTTCATCAACTTTTTAAGTGTCTGCATCTGCTTGAGTCCACTTTTAGGTGGACATTAAAATAAAGGTTTCATCTACAGTAAATGAGAGATTAAAATAATTTTTGGACTTTCGTTACTGTTAGCTTAATAAAAGGTTCTCGCTTAATACAGGTTTCACTGTAATTATTCTAACTATAGATAAGCATGTACATTTAACTGAATGAAAATATTAATGATTTCACCAACCTAAACTTAACACCTTCAAACATTCCAGTAGTTATAAGTGAAGGGCAAACTGTGGTGAATTGAATACCAGTAGATCCTATGCTTGAGAGTTCTTGACGTAATGCCTCCATGAGTCCAACAGCAGCAAACTTTGATGAGCAGTAATCAACTGCACCAGCCAGACCAGTCTTACCAGCTATGGATGCTAAGCTTACAATGTGACCATGTTTACGATGAAGCATGCTAGGTAGGAATTCTCTTATGGTCTACAGAGAGGAAAATAATTTATAAAAATTTAATCATAGCCCTTTTGTAGAAAGGCAAAGATATCTGTGCCAAGTTTGGTCTTTTATGAAGCACAAAACATACACAACTGTACTTAATGCTAATAATCAAAGATTATGGACTTAATTTGACATTTACTGACAATTCTTGATCTCAGGTACATGTATGTACAGTGTGACTCTTCTTTGACAAGTTTGTATAGTTGTCATTCACCCCTGTAAAATCAGCAGCAATGTTACATTGTACATACATTGTATTAATTTTTGTGCCCCAAGTTTGGTCATTGAATCAACTTTCTCCCAATTAACCTCCTTCCAGTCTCTACACTAAGAGCATCTCAACATGCAGCATGTAAAGAAAGTCGTGTCTGATAGCCCGGGGCTAGTGGATTTTGCTATCGGGCTAGTGACTTTTGTTCCTAACTTGCCTGAGGGGCACATGCTGTTTTTGGAGGAAATTCAAATTACAGAAGGATTGTAATCAATTCTGCTAATCCAAAAGGGTTTTGGAGCTGGTTGAAATGACTTGTGGGCTAGTACATGCTAGCTAGAGCCTGCCCAAATGGTAGGCTGTAAAACAGACTTTCTTTGCACCCTGACATGTACATCAACTTCTTCAATTGCTGTTTTTTCTTTTTACAAGCAAATAAACAGTTGAAGAACTACTGGGAGGAACATTCTTGAAGTGACCAAAAAGGTTATAATATTACTGTGATATTTATGTAAGAGTTGATGCTTCTACAAGTCATAGTCAGCACAACTGTTGAGGAACTTCTTCACGGTAAGATTTTCACATTAGTAATACTTGAATAGTAATGTCAAAAGGTCATTAGAAATGATCACGCAGTTATTTTCTTCATGGCTAAGGTGGAAAATAAGGTCAAAATAGAATGAAAGCATTTCCACTCTCTCTCCCCCTCCCCAAGGCACCTTAAAGAGAGACTTGTTAAGCTGACTTCTATAAACAATGTCAGGTACATGTAAAGTACCACAAAATGTCTTTGAAACTCTTGTGCAATGCTGTTTAGCACTCACTGTTTATGAATGATCATGGTACATACAGAATTTTTGGGAAAAAATCAAGGACGACGGGAAAACCGAAATTATATGAAAACACACTTTCATGATCACTAAGAAAATTTACGTACTGCTGTGCTTTCAAATCTTTCCTTTGCACTAAACACTTGTTTTAATGAAGGCTAAGTGTATCTTTATTCACGGAGATTTCAAAAATATTCAAGGACTTCTGGAGAAAATTCAAGGACTTTTCAATGATATCCCACAAATTTCCAATTTTCAAGGACTTTTCAAGAACACATGTTTATCAAACATTACCATACCCCACCCCCACCCCACCTTAAAAAAGGAAAATAAATTCAAACCCAGGGTAAATGTGAGCCACAACACTTGCAATATTACAAACTGTTCACTAATAGACCTAGAGACTTACCCAGAAGTGGGCTAGGGAGTTAACATCAAAAGTGGCTGAAATTTCCTCATCAGTGCAATCCATAAACTTCTTTCCTGAAACAATGCCAGCATTGTTTACCAGCAGAGAAACTTCACCAACATCCTCTTTCACTCTTGCTGCAGTTTCATGAATTTCAGTTTTATCTCGCAGATTGCACTTGTAAGAATGCACCTCACCACCAGCAGTTTTAATTTCCTTTCCTACAGCATCAAGCCCCTCTTGATTAACATCCCATAAAACCAGTCTACAACCTGTTGAAAGCAAGCAACCATCAAGGGTGGATCCGGAATGACAGTGATTTTGTTACCGCTGCGTCCTGCAATTCCCTAATGTAAAACAATTCCCCAAAGATGCACAAAAGTTCATGGCATGTGTCCCATAAGACAAAAAGAGCGATCGATCAATCGATCAATCAATCTGAAGATGTCTTTGCAGAATATCCTGTTCATGTGACTATTTCTGTGGCTGTTCTTGCAGCTGTTATTTAACAACGCATATTTCTTATAGTCTTTAATTTGTTGTGCTTTACAAAAGAATATCTTTTGTCTGTCTGGTCACATAAATGGCCAAGAATTTTCAATTTAGGACTAATTGTTTTTGAACTGGGACTCAATGGTTGTGGAGTGAGACTGATTTTTTGTTCATAAGATGAGTGCCTGGACTCACCATAATNGAAAGCATTTCCACTCTCTCTCCCCCTCCCCAAGGCACCTTAAAGAGAGACTTGTTAAGCTGACTTCTATAAACAATGTCAGGTACATGTAAAGTACCACAAAATGTCTTTGAAACTCTTGTGCAATGCTGTTTAGCACTCACTGTTTATGAATGATCATGGTACATACAGAATTTTTGGGAAAAAATCAAGGACGACGGGAAAACCGAAATTATATGAAAACACACTTTCATGATCACTAAGAAAATTTACGTACTGCTGTACTTTCAAATCTTTCCTTTGCACTAAACACTTGTTTTAATGAAGGCTAAGTGTATCTTTATTCACGGAGATTTCAAAAATATTCAAGGACTTCTGGAGAAAATTCAAGGACTTTTCAATGATATCCCACAAATTTCCAATTTTCAAGGACTTTTCAAGAACACATGTTTATCAAACATTACCATACCCCACCCCCACCCCACCTTAAAAAAGGAAAATAAATTCAAACCCAGGGTAAATGTGAGCCACAACACTTGCAATATTACAAACTGTTCACTAATAGACCTAGAGACTTACCCAGAAGTGGGCTAGGGAGTTAACATCAAAAGTGGCTGAAATTTCCTCATCAGTGCAATCCATAAACTTCTTTCCTGAAACAATGCCAGCATTGTTTACCAGCAGAGAAACTTCACCAACATCCTCTTTCACTCTTGCTGCAGTTTCATGAATTTCAGTTTTATCTCGCAGATTGCACTTGTAAGAATGCACCTCACCACCAGCAGTTTTAATTTCCTTTCCTACAGCATCAAGCCCCTCTTGATTAACATCCCATAAAACCAGTCTACAACCTGTTGAAAGCAAGCAACCATCAAGGGTGGATCCGGAATGACAGTGATTTTGTTACCGCTGCGTCCTGCAATTCCCTAATGTAAAACAATTCCCCAAAGATGCACAAAAGTTCATGGCATGTGTCCCATAAGACAAAAAGAGCGATCGATCAATCGATCAATCAATCTGAAGATGTCTTTGCAGAATATCCTGTTCATGTGACTATTTCTGTGGCTGTTCTTGCAGCTGTTATTTAACAACGCATATTTCTTATAGTCTTTAATTTGTTGTGCTTTACAAAAGAATATCTTTTGTCTGTCTGGTCACATAAATGGCCAAGAATTTTCAATTTAGGACTAATTGTTTTTGAACTGGGACTCAATGGTTGTGGAGTGAGACTGATTTTTTGTTCATAAGATGAGTGCCTGGACTCACCATAATTATTTGTAACAAAATCACTGGAATGGACAAATGACCCAGATGACAGCACTTGTCTGCAAGCAGCATCTTCCTCTCACTTTCTTGATTTTGGCTTACTCAAGAAAAACTTCGCATGCATTGAACTGGGATGGATCTAAGTTCAGCATGCATACTTTGTATCTACAGTTTCAAAGTCAGGGCTAATAGTCGTGCACCTGGCAGTCAGAGGGCTCAGTTGTGACAATTGGCTTATCAATAAACTGATGCTTGCTTTCAAGACTGAAGTTTGGGCTATGGTGACTTCAAAGGGTAAACACCATCACGCAAAGCCTCCTTTTCTCCTCCTTGATCAAGAAGAAGACTGAAGGAGACTCAAGGTGCTTTCTATTTTTCAGAACTGACTGGCCAAACCATTCCCAACGCAATGAGAATTTCCATTTTAATCAGTCAAACCCTAAGTAGTATGCACCAAGGAAATGGTTGTTCAGCAAAAACTCTTTGTAAATGTACATTTCATTATCAAACAGATTGGTCGGGCAATGGTCTGGCCGGCCAGTTCTGACAAATTGAAAGCGCCCTCAGCTTACAAGGTGATATGCTAGAACCAAGGATTAAAGGGGCTATGTCACGGCAGTCCAGTTCATTTTGTTTAATTTTGCCAATTACTTGCCCTCAATCGCTATGGAACTTAAAGTAAGCAAAGAAATTACATGTAAATGACAAAATCAGAGATCCGGGACAAACAAATATGTCTCCTGAGCACCATTTTTGAAGTTGCAAGCAGCAGAACTCAACTTTGAAAAACTGTTAGGCAGAACAGTTTTCAACAACCTTAATTTCAATTTTCTTCAGTTTTACCCATCCGTGGCATCTTTTGTTTCTGTTATGTTATTTTAACCGTCCTTTAAAGTTTTAAATGATTATTTTATGCTTCTCTTAATTTAACGGGCATTTTGTAATTTCCTAATTTGGCTGAACTTTGTGACACAGCTCCTTTAACTATGAAGAGAAATGAAGAAAAAACTCACACACACACACAAAAATTATTCAGAAACATCCTAGGAAATAAACGGTAGTCTGCCAAAGTTCTGCCAAAGGCATTTCATTTTTAAATTTGCAACACCCTAAAATTTTATTAGAGTGGGAGATCACCTAGTCATAAGAGTTTAGAAGCACATTTCTAAAGGATTAAAAGTGTTAGAGTTATCCATACTGGATTTGTTGTTCTATTAAATCAAGTCATAATCCACTCGCTCAAAATACCGTAAAATTCTTAAAATAAGCCCCGGGGCTTATATTTTTCAAAGGCCCTTTTTGAGGGGCTTACTTTTGGAGGGAAATTTGCGTAATTTCAAAATCGATTGGGCTAGCCTTATAGTTGAAGTAAATTTACCGTTTTTGCTTTGTTCTACTTTGTATTTGAGGGCAATTTCCAAGTATAAGCCCCCGGGAGGCTTATATTTGGAGGAGTGATTTAACGGAGGGTTTTTTGTGTTACGAGTTTGGGGGGCTTATATTTGGAGGGGCTTATACATGGAGGGGCTTATTTTCGGAATTTTACGGTAATACATACAGTCTACATGTATATTTCTAAAGATTCTTAAAGGTGCTTTGTTTTTCCAAACATAGTGAGTTGAATTTTAAGGAAAAGGACAACAATACATGTACATATAAGTGTGAAAAAGCTTCAGGTGCTAAAAAACACCTGCCATGAGCTTCCTGTTTATTCAAAAACGTTTTTCAAACGATATAGTTTTTTTTAAATAAATCAGTCACTTAAGTGATTTTTTTTGCACTTTTTGCTTCAAAGAATTGATTTTTTTTTAGCATAGACAGTCTGAGACTATAATTATTATTACCATACTGGATTATATAAATGTATATACTGTTTCTAGAATATTAAAGAACCTGGAGATTTTAGGGACAAAACGAAAATTGATGTTCAGTATCTCTGTCACTGCGGGTGGAAATTAATTAAAGTACAAAAGCTTCGTAAGCAGCTAAGCCACAAACCAAGAAGAAGTCGTGACAATTGAGTTTACTTTTAACTTTTAATACGAACATCAACAATAATAATAATTTTAAAAAAAACAACGAACCTTTCTCAGCCAAACGAAGAGAAATCAGTCGACCAATACCACTTGCTGCTCCTGTTACCAAAGCAAGCTCTCCATGAAGGCTTTTTCTTGACGGCAAAACCCACTTAAAAGCCGATTGTGAAAAGGAAATCAGAACGCGGAAAGAAAGGAAGGTGAACTCGAAAATGAGAGAAATGACGTAGCCTTTTCCCGTGAAATGCAGGATCACAATGAAACCTTGAAGAGCCACCAAAGCGTACAGGAGACAAACGAGGGACATGTTTGTTACAAGCGCAAGGGTCGCAGCGATAATGATCAATCTGTTCTGTTACAGTAGATGTTTTTGTGGATGATCACCTGCCGACTTGTGCATGTGACTAAACTGTTTTTCCGGAGGACTGGAGAGAAAAGAAAAGACAAATAATGTCGATTAAAAGAATTGTTAATGCCCTTAAGGGTCATTTTCTTGCTAGCGGGATTACTGACTTAGACTAAGCTGTACATGCATGCTCAATACGTTACCATTTCGGGTTACAAAGACAATTTTAATTGTAATTTCTACAGCTGCACATAGCTCACTAAAAGTAAGCCGCTATAATAATAATATCGACTAGTGAAAACAGACACTTACACAGACCAGTGCAAGACACTTCGAATTAATTATACCTTTCAAACGTTGTGAAATTTAAACCCGGTCCTGAATGACTCAGCGGAATGAGGACTTCTGTGACTTCACCTACCCTTCTGTTATGTGCTTCTCGAACTTACGCGTTCGTTTTGCCACATCCCGACTTCCGCATCGATTTAGCTTTGTGTGAGATAAAAAATCGTGGTTTACGACCATGCAAATTTTATCAATTTTCCAAACAATAACCTCCCATCAATTCCTGCCATCACAAATTCAATTTCCCGCCGCCATTTTCGTTTGCCTACCCATGAGCCTCTACCAACTGGTAGAGCCCGCGATCGTTGTGACGATGATGATGGGTAGGTACTCTAAGTGGGGTTATTAAAGTGTATCAAGAAATGTATAAATGGTAATACATGGCAATACATGGTAATACATGGCGATACATGGTAATACAAGGCATTACATGGCAATACATGGCTATACATGGTAATACATGGCTATACATGGCTATACATGGCAATACATGGCTATACATGGCAATATATGGCTATAGATGGCTATACATGGCAATACATGGTAATACATGGCTACACATGGCAGTACAAGGCTATACATGTCAACACATTAGTTTAAATGCATTCTTGATACACTTATTATTTTATAAGATAGCTCTTTGACCAAAACAGTTTAAGTAAGCTCAGTTATTGAATAATTTAAGTGCAAGAATTACAATGTAGAATACATGTTTCCAAAATATTTGGCTAGGATCTGGTCATTACATTCATCACTTATTCAAGCTATAATGAGGCCGTTAACAAAACCCGGATCGGATTGCTCGGATCGGATCGGATTGTGGATCGGATCGGACTCCGGATCGGATCGGATCGGATCGGACTGACAATTCGCCTTAAATTCCCGCCAAAATGGTCACGTGACATCCCCCGGAATGAAGATGGCGGAGAGAAGAGTATGTATACAATCTTCTGTAACTAATTTAGTGTTTCTTTTCTTTTTTTTTATTGTAAAGTGATCTCGTTATTTTCTGAGCCTACTTGAACGGAGGTGACATTTAAGATGTCATTCGCTTATTGACAACAAGTCGTCGCTATCGTACCTTGCTTATTACCGCGATTTTCTTAATCGTCTCCTCTGAAAAGAAGCATTCAATCCAAGCTCAGTGAGAAAGAAGACCAATTCAGAAGAGAGTGGAGATGAAAAGAAAAACAAAATCATTGCAATGAGAGATACGTACATCTCTGTCCGCCATCTTCGATTCGGGAGACGTCACGTGACCAAGCCTCTTTTTGGAATTGTAATCGTATGAAGTTATGCAACAGAAAATTTCCCAGTGCAGTTCAGTTGAAAATAATTCTT